ATATTGACGAACGATAAGGAATATCTATTCCAGGTATCCAAGAGGCACACGCCCACAAGGGCACTACACGTGTACACCATGTAGCACGACACCTCCAGTCTGCTTTCCACGTGGCATGCATTATGCCTCTCGGTGGTATGTGTCCCGCTGAGCATATCAAATTCTGTTTTTTTTTTTTTTTTTCATGTGGTCCGATGGACCACGGATCAGATATTAAACCGATCAGAACAGATACTACACTTGATCTTAGCCAAAAGGCCGAGAAAGGTATAATTCTGTTTTTTTCCTTCTTCCCCTTTTCTTTTTTTTCTTTTTTTTTTCTTCCCTTATGTCCAATTCTTGCCGTGCCCGCAAACACTGAATATGTTGTAGTGATTAAAGTCTAAACATGTCGAAATAAAGTGGCATTGGGGGGTGTTGTCCGGTGGAAAAGGTGGGAGGGAGAAGAGGGGAAAAGGGGGAAAGCGGGGAAAGAGAGAGACAGTCAGAAGATATAGCCATGGTGTAATTCATCGTTGATGACCATCAGTTACGGAGGTGATGGCAAGGCGGGAGAGGAGAGGAGAGGAGAGGAGAGGGGAGGGGGAGGGACAACGGGAAGCGAAGGAGAACTCGGAAGTGCTAGATGAAAAGCAAAGAACAAAAATGAACAATGACGAGAAAGTGGGAGAAAGGGGGCGGGAAACACTTTCCACGAATTGTGGCTGACTGACCCATCTTTTAAAAAAGGAGGAGAGGGAGGAGTAGGAGAAGCAGGAGGAGGAGGAGGAGGAGAGGACACTGGGAAGATCTAGAGTTGGACATGGCACTTACCACGAAGGGCACGTGGATGTACCGCCACGTGGATGTACCGCCACGTGTATCATGCACACGACGCGGTACGTTCATGCAGACCAGGGGCAAGTTCATCCAGAACCATGCAACGAGGCGCGCGCAAACGCGAGAAGCATTGTCTGTTCTTTAGCTTTTGGTTTAGGGTTTTGGAGGGAACCAGGTCCCACTTGTGCGCGGATATTGCCCGTATATAGTGTAATACTAAGATACGATCAGATGCCAAAATGTCTTAAATCCATGCAAGTGGGACATTGGCCCTGATCAAAAAGAAAACTCATCAAAACAGATAAACGTGATCTTAGCCAAAAGCGAGAGACAGGTATGACGACGACGAGCCTGGAGCCTTGTCTTGATTGCCCCATGTTCTCTATCTCCCATCCCATCCACCCGTCTCATTGCACCTCTTTTTCTGTTTTATTATGCCATTCTTTTCATTTTTTTTTCTTTCCTTTTCTGAATTATAGAATGCGTATGTCTACTTACCAGCGTCTTCGCCTTTCATGCTGTTGCCTCAAATGCCAGAGATCATGTCAGGATCTGTCCTGTCGTTGTTTGATTCTTCATCCGCTCTCCCTCCTCCCTCCCCTCTT